AATTATCTATTTCTATTTCATTTGGTATTCTTACATTTAAATCTTCAAATCAATCAAATGTATTACAAATATAAATATTTATCATTTGTATAAAAACATTACAAAGATTTGTCACTTTTCACTTGTATAAGTAGGTAGATATTTTGTCTTTTATGTATCCCAGTACAGGTATAACCTTTGTCACTTTTCACTTGTACTAGTATGTGGATATTTTGTCTTTTATGTATCCCAGTACAGGTATAACCTTTGTCACTTTTCACTTGTATTAGTATGTGGATATTTTGTCTTTTATGTATCCCAGTACAGGAATAACCTTTGATCATCAACCACATTTTATTTGCAACTTTAATATGAGAAAATTTTGCTTATAGCAATTATAAGACAAATGAGGTTACCAAATGTCCTGTTAATTTTCAAAATATAAATGACTTTGTAAGAGTCACTAACCCTGTCAAGTGTAGGTGGATAAAGAGGACTGTAATTGAATACTTTTGCTCCCTGTTACGAGGGTGGTAAAGGGGGGGTGCTTGCACGGAAAAAACGTGAAATAAGACATAATTTCACGTTGAACGTGAAATAATTTCTGTCATGAACGTTGCACGAAAAATAAAGACTGTTAATTGTGAACCTTTTGTGACTGAGTCACTGTCTTCTTGTATATATAAACTCTCTGTTTTACTTGTTATTCCCGATTTAGGATACACATTTATGATGTAAATGGTTTACGGCTTTTAAAAAAGTATTTCTTGACGATCCCTGCCAAGTATTTGAATTTTATTTGAAAAATACCGAGCACGCAAAATAAGCATTTGAAAATCACGATGCACGTAAAATTAAATAAGCAGAACACGTTGAACGAGGTACCTGTCTTGCACGACTGAACGTTAAATAAAAAAGTAAAAACACGTTGAACGTGAAATAAAAAACGGCGATCACGTTGCACGAAAATAACCCTTTACCACCCTCTGTTACCTGATTTTCATTTCAATTCCCCTGAAAAATACAAGTAAGCTCTCATTGATGATATATTAATAATGTTCTGAAACATGACAGGTATCACTGATGGAGCAGAAATTGCACATCCTTCTGGATCACCAGAATTCACCATGGTTTTGGGTGAGATTCAATTAGTTCAATATGAAGTTTCTGTGAAGTGTGTTTTGGACTGTTGTCTTTTGATTGTTTTTCTTTTTGGCCCATTCATACTAGTGTCTATTATTGATTGTCCCCATAGGTACCTATTCATTCTTTTTCCCTCCTGCTATATTGTTACCATTCCGTGTGCACCCAAACTTTTTTTATCAATCCAAAAGAAAATATGACCCCCCTCCCCCCAGTGTATAAATCATGCTACAGTTCCAGTCTTACTACCACCTTTCTTTTTACATCTGAAAGAATGGAAGGCCGACAGCGATTTAATTAATCTCAAATACAGGAGGGTAAAAATGCCCTTTATTGTCAAGCATCAAACATCTGTTTTTTTCTACTGTTAGCATCAAATGAGCCTTAATTTTTTATTGTCATTCGTCAAATCTCTTTTTGAAGCTAAGTTTAGCGTCAAATGAAGTAAAATGTTTATCGTTAATGTTGTTTTAACAAATATTTTACCGTCATTATTCATGTGGGGTACCCCATTCCTACTCTCATACAGTGGACTGAGTATCATCAGCTTTTGCCATTTTCTAAAACCTAATGGCCTGATAATGCCTGAAGTGTTGGCCATTTTTTATCAGTGGAGGAAGCAGGAATATCTGGAGAGAACTATGACCTTCGTACAAAATTGTTACCCATCATTGAAATAATTCAACATCCTGGAAAACTAGTTGAATGAAAAATAAATTGCTTCACCGAGCGCAGCTGGATACAACCGCAGAGGTCCAACCCTGAACAGTTGCGGCAAAAATGGACACAATATTTGCGCTTGATACAGGTCTGAATTTGGATTGTAATTAAATATTTGACACATAATAGGCTTCTGACACAGAATAACTGTAGTCAAAGAACTTAGAATTGGTTATATGATTTGAATTTTATATTCAATTTTTTGCTTTTGTGCAATACACTTTGCTGTTGCGAATTGACCAACCCTCCCCCCCAAAAAAAAAATTCTTTCCCTCAAGATATGGTCATAATCTCAATTTGCAACCATAATTACCTATTTAAATACATCATAAAAGTCTTAAAATAGAAAATGACATACATTATCATGGCTAAGATTAATATTCCTTAATAGTAACTTCTGAAAAAATAAATTGACAGCTAATCATCTCAAGACAATACAACATTTTTTTATACATAATTTAAAAGCAGTGTAAGGGAGGTAATCAAAATGTTGTATTTGGATTACCTCCCTTACACTGCTTTTAAATTGTCTAAAGTAATTGTCCATTAACCATGAAACCCTTGTTTTCCCAATATTTTGCCCCATATTCCTAAACGGTTTGAGCCATAACCCCCCAAAGCAAATCCTAACCATCCCTTTGTGGTATGGAAACTTGTGGTATAATTTCAGAGAGATCCATACACCATTCCACAAGTTATTGTCTGGAAACTAGAAAAATGCTTATTTGGGCCCCCTTTTGGCCCCTTATTCCTAAACTGTTAGGACCATAACCCCCAAAATCAATCCCAACCTTTTTGTGGTTATAAACCTTGTGTTTAAATTTCATAGATTTCTATCTAATTATACTAAAGTTATTGTCCGAAAACCAACTGTCTTCAGACGACGTGATACCAATATACGACCATAAAATTTTTTGCGGTCGTATAATAATTGTGTAGTTAGAGATGCATTTCCCTCATGCATAGCTCTGATTCATTGTCAAGGTTTTGCTTAAGTTTTGGTCCTTTTTGGATTTACCGGTTTTAGGTATTGGACTTTCAAAATATTTTGGCCTAGAGCATCAATTGAAAGACATTAATTTTCAAAATGAGCATCTGGTGCAGTAAAATTAGTACCAATAATGTTATTAAATTACTATCCATAGCAAAAAAAATACTGCCATAAAAAGAAATATTGTGGTAAAAGGGAAGTAACTCTAATATTTTTCAGACAGCTTTTTGATCACCTGCTGTAAATGAGTTTTCAGCTTAGCTAGTTCATGTTGCTGATCTTTTATTTTCTGTGTTGTGTATTGTATACTTGTCTTTTTTTTCTCTTAATATTTCTTTTGCCCAAGGTGTTTTCTCCCTTTTGTTCAGAATCAACTCCTTAACATAATAAAATTGATTGCCCCCTTTACTTTCCTCCTACTGTTTTTTATAACTTAAATGATTTTTTTTATAGACACAATTATCTTCAGGACCTGCATCTCATATCAAAAGAATAAAAATACTTCAATATTTAAGCCTCATCATATTTTTACCTAGTTTTCCATTAAATCAGCATTTGATAATATCAAGTTTAAAAAAAGCCTCTGGGCCAGGTGAGCTAAAAAGTCAGGTGGACATTTAGGTAACCACATATCTTTTTATATTCACACTTATTACCTTTCATTAATATTATTCTCTTGATAAATATTTCAATTCAACTTAAATAAATGGATAATGTGTCTATGGGCCACAGATGCCCCCGGTTGTAAATATGCATGAGTCAACTTCCACATACAGATGCAGGATTCACATGGTTAAGACCGCTTTGTGATTATAAGCATTGTGTATTAATTTCATAACATTTGGTTGAGGCAAACTAAAGTTAGAGAACAGAAACAGCAGATTTAGCAATTTTTCCATTTATAAAGAGGCATAACTCAAGAATGTAAAAATGACGCCACCCAATTTCAAACTTTATCTGTGTTTTGTGGTAATAAGCATTGTGTATAAGTTTCATAACACTTGGTTGAGGCAAACTAAAGTTAAAGAATGGAAACGAAAAATTCAGCAATTTTTAGGTTTATAAAGGGGCAGAACTCATGAACGGTAAAAGTGACGCCACCCAATTTCGAATTTCATCTGTGTCTTGTGGTAATAAGCATTGTGTATAAGTTTTAAAATACTTGGTTGAGACAAACTTAAGTTAAAGAATGGAAACCAAATTTTGGGGGACGTATGCGACAGACAGACAGACAAGGGTAACACTTAATTCCTCCTCTCCTACAGTGGGGGCATAAAAAAAATAAATGAGGAATGTGTTCATGGGACACAGATGATGCCCCCGCTTGCATATAACATTATAGAGGGACATAACTCAAGAAAGGTAAAAGTGATTCTATCCAAATTCGTTCTTGATTTGATTTTTTTTGGTAATAAGCATTGTGTATGAGTTTCATAACATTTGCTTGAGGCAATCTTAAGTTCGAGAACGGAAACCAAAAATTCAGCAATTTTTTATTTGTAAAGAGGCATAACTCTAGAACGGTAAAAGTGACGCCACCAAATTTCCAACTTGATCTGTGTTTTGTGGTAATTAGCATTTTGTATAAGATTCATAACATTTGGTTGAGGCAAACTTAAGTTAGAGAACGGACACGAAAAATTCAGCAAATTTTCCATATGTAAAGGGCATTATAACTCTAGACAGGTAAAAGTGATGCCACCAAAATTCAAACTGGATCTGTGTTTTGTGGTAATTAGCATTGTGTATAAGTTTCCTAACATTTGGTTGAGGCAAACTAAAGTTAGAGAACGGAAACCAATTTTGAGACTTATGGACGTAAAAATGATAGCATGCAAATAGTCATAGAAATATTAAATGCAAAACAAAATATTTCTAAAGGTCCATTATCATTAATTTGATTCCTACAGCTATAATTCAGAGCTCTAATTATCTGATCATGGCCGAGTTTTCCCTTTAAAATACAGCTTCTTTCTCATACAATCAAGGACTAGAACAGTTTACCAACATTAGACTCTTAAAAATATAGGATGCAGAGGCATTCAAGAATAGTCTCTAAAAATCATTCAAGTACTAAATCAGTGATCCATTATGGTGCTCATTTAAATAACACATTTATGAGCACAGAAAATTTTAAAATGAACTTGTTTCTAGCGTGATTATTACTTTTTTAATTATGATGTGTCTAATTAATTCAGACCCTGAAAAGTTTGCAATTTTACTAAAGATGTAGATGTAAAAAAGGTAAAATTCAAATAGCTACGGAAACTATCATAAATAGTGAAGTAGAAAAGGAAATATGAAGTCAGATGGTGATGAGAGGCAAACAGACAAGGAAGTATCAAAGTCAGACATATTATTTTTGAAATGGTAATAGCAAGTTCTTTACAAAAAGGACAAATTCCAGTAGGATGTGAGCTGTGCAAAGGTCAAAATAAGATCCAATTCAAATGTCTGGACTGTAACCTTTTAATGTGCAGTGGGTGCAGGGACAGAGTTCACTTAAGGATTGCTAAAGATCATCAGATAACTGATATAAAGGATATAGGAAAACATGTTATTTTCAGTGAAATTATGTGTGAAACTCATAAAGGACAATCATGCTGCCTTTTCTGTGAAACCTGCAAAACATTTATCTGTGTAAAATGTGTAGCCAAAGTTCATAATGGACATGAGTTAATAGAAGAAGAAGACTACAATAAAGGCAAAGTAGAAATGAAGCCAAAACAGCAAAGTAAGATTAAGTTTGAAATATTCAAAGAATATACAACAGATCTTACCTCTGTTCACTTTATAGCAGTATGTTCTGATGGTTCTATGTGGATGGGGGATAGTGTCAGATCAAAGTTACAACATGTCAAACTTAGGGAGGATAGAACTGAAGTAATAACAAGTTTAAATACTAAGATTTATGATATGACAAAAACTCATTCAAATAACATTCTTGTAACAACAGGTGAGACTAAACTAAAACTAATCAACCCCATGACAGGACAGATAACAGATTCCAGGTATGATGTAAAACCATTGTATCCAAGAGCTATCCATGTGACCAGTGATCACAGAGTCATCATAGGAGCCTGGACTAGAGGTAAGATAGTCCCTGTTACAGGAAGACGTGTAGTTGTAGTAATGGATCAGGAAGGAAAACAACTAAAGGAATATGAACATGACAATCATAAAGAACGATTAATTACCTACCCTAGATACATAACCAGTATTAGTAATGGTAACATCTGTGTGGTGGATTGGTTAGACAATACTATAAGAGGTAGAGTGGTAGTGTTATCACCAGGAGGAGACATACTAGGGACTTATACTGGTCACCCTGATGTCAACACAGAGGATGATCCATTTACACCTGTAGGAATACTAACAACACCATCAGATAATATTGTTGTTACAGATATGAGCAATCATTTATTGCATATACTGACTGACCAAGGACAAATTATTACCTTCTACAACCTCCGTGACATAGGAATCTTATTTCCATATTCCCTTGCTCTGTCTACATCAGGAACTATCTTCATAGGATGTGTTATTGCTGCAGGAAGTCCAGACACTACAAAGGCTAAACTTTATGAGTTGGACTATTCTGGGTTCTAATGACTTCCCTTGCTCTGTCTACATTGGGAACTATCTACATCGGATGTGTTAGTGAGAAAGGAAGTCCAGACACTACAAAGGCTAAACTTTATGAGTTGGAATATTCTGGAATCTAGTGAAACTAAGGAAACAATAACCAGAATAATAAAGAAATTATTTGTTAACAGTTTCACTTGCTAAGTCATAAACTTCTGATTTTTAATCATAAATTCAACTTTTCCTAAGATAATAGACTTTCATTGCAGGATTGGTTTTTTGTATAAACATTAAATATGATTTATTTTCATGCTTTTTTTATAACAGATTTAAAGAAAAAAAGGAAATATGTAAAAAATCTTTTAACAGTCATCAAAGGGAAATTCTACCATCCATCAACCTGATTAAAATACAGACTGATTGATTGATTGTTGTTTAACGCCACTTTCAGCACTATTGTGCAATTTCGTGATGGTCAATTTATATTTGTGGAGGAAGCCAGAGTACCCGGAGAGAACCACAACCTTCGGTAGGAAAACTGACAATCCTAGTTAATTAAGATTGAAGTTAAGCACACCTGCCAAGTTCGAGATTCGAACTCACAACCTCAGTGTTGACTGGTTAGTGATACAGTAGTTTAACTACTTAGACCACTTAACCACAAGATTAAAATACAGATCCTTAGTGTCCACGTTTTGCTTACATGGATCTGAATACACTCCATTCTACTTTCTATTTCATATAAATAAGAAGATGTGGCATGAGTGCAAATGAGTCAACTCTCCATCCAAGTCACAATGTATAACTAGATGTGTCAAAACGACACAAATGGCCCCGTCTCAAAAAGTTGAAAAATCTGCAATTTCAACAACACATGTGGACACAAACATGCATGGATAGTATCCAGCTCTCAAGACCAATACTAGTTTGATGAAAAATTTCCTTGATCAATGAGTAGTTAAATTTCAAACTATCAGCAAACAGGAAGTGGATGTACTGAAGATGTGTTGAAACGACATGAAAATCAGCATATTGGAACGAAACATAAATTTGATCTGTAACTCATCATGGTAGACTCACATATAAAAAATCAGCGCAAAATCTGAAGGCGTATAGAAACTAGAGGCTCTAAAGAGCCTGTGTCGCTCACCTTGGTCTATGTGCATATTAAACAAAGGACACTCTCCAACATTGTAGACGAGAATAGACTTCATGACAAAAATCTCTATTTTGTTGATCTTGTATTACTGATCTTTTAGTCTGTTTAGTCTCTCTCTCTATATCTTTTTTAGTTTTTGCTAGTACAAAAGAGGGTTAAAAAAATCCTCATTTAAGGTCAATCACTCCTATGAAGAGTGACAGTCTACTAACTATATCGGCAAAATTTGACTTTCTAATAGATCTTGCCTTGCTGATCATTTTTGTGATTTAAAGTGTTTATTTATCTATTACAATTTAAATCATATAAGACATTAACGGAAAAAAAATGTTTCTCTCTAAATATCATAGTTTTCATGATAATAGGCAAAAATGAAAAAAATGGTAAAATTTGTCATTTATGGGCAATAACTCCTATAAGAATTTGTCTAACAGTTTTGACGTGTATGGACAATTGGTAGAGCTCATTATTCTGAACATTTTTGCTCCTTTCAGATTTTCTCTATTTATAACAGTTCAAAAAATAATAGACAAAACTTGCATTTTACCACTATATATAATGTTCTATTTTTAGCCATGTCGACCATCTTGGTTGGTAGACGGGGTTATCAGACAAATTTTTTAAACTAGATACCCTAATATTGATTGTGGCCAAGTTTGGTTAAATTTGTCTTAGTAGTTTCAGAGGAGAAGATTTTGTAAAAGATTACAAAAATTTACAAAAAATTGTTAAAAAATGACTATAAAAAGCAATAACTCCTCATGGGGTCAATTGACCATTTTGGTCATGTTGACTTATTTGTAGATCTTACTTTGCTGAACATTATTGCTGTTTACAGTTTATCTCTATCTATAATAATATTCAAGATAATAACCAAAACTGCAAAATTTCCTTAAAATTACAAATTCAGGAGCAGCAACCCAACTACTGGTTGTCTGATTTGTCTGAAAATTTTCAGGCATAGATATTAACCTGAAGCACAATTTACCTCTTGTCAGATTTGCTCTAAATGCTTTAGTTTATGAGATATAAGCCCAAATCTGCATTTTACTCCTATGTTCTATTTTTAGCCATGGCGGCCATGTTGGTTGGCAGGCGGGGTCATCAGAAATTTTTTTAAACTAGATACCCTAATGATGATTGTGGCCAAGTTTGGTTAAATTTGTCTCAGTAGTTTCAGAGGAGAAGATTTTTGTAAAAGATTACAAAAATTTACAAAAAATTGTTAAAAAATGACTATAAAGGGCAATAACTCCTTAAGGGGTCAATTGACCATTTTAGTCATGTTGACTTATTTGTAGATCTTATTTTGCTGTACATTATTGCTGTTTACAGTTTATCTCTATCTATAATAATATTGAAGATAATAACCAATAAAATGCTCCGCAGGGCGCAGCTTGATACGACCGCAGAGGTCGAACCCTGAACAGTTGGGGCAAGTATGGACACAACATTCAAGCTTGATACAGCTCTGAATTTGGATTGTGATTAAATATTTGACACAGCATAGGTTTCTGACACAGAATGAATGTGGTCTAAGAACTTAAAAATTTTAAATTGGACATTCACCTATTATGGTCCAATATCCAAAATCTAAATACATGGTTAGATTCAGCATATCAAAGAACCCCAAGAATTCAATTTTTGATGAAATCAAACAAAGTTTAATTTTGGACCCTATAATTATGACCTCAATGTGGACAAAGTTGATAACGGGGCCCAAAAATCAAAAATCTAAATACATGGTTAGATTCAGCATATCAAAGAACCCCATATATTCAATTTTTGTTGAAATCAAACAAAGTTTAATTTTGGACCCCGATTTGGACCAACTTGAAAACTGGGCCCATAATCAAAAATCTAAATACATGTTTAGATTCAGCATATCAAAGAACCCTAAAAATTCAATTTTTGTTAAAATCAAACTAAGTTTAATTTTGGACCCTTTGGACTTTAATGTAGACCAATTTGAAAACGGAACCAAAAATTAAGAATCTAAATACACGGTTAGATTCGGCATATCAAAGAACCCCAATAATTCAATTTTTTGATGAAATCAAACAAAGTTAAATTTTGGACCCTTTGGACCTCAATGTGGACCAATTTAAAAACGGGGCCCAAAATCCAAAAACTAAATACACGGTTAGATTCAGCATATTTAAGAACCCCAAGAATTCAAGAATAAAACCCCATTGAAATTGATCAAGAAATAAGCAATTTATACGAAGTATCTTCTTTTGCACAATACTGTGCAATTGAATATTTCTTGCTATTGTGCAATACTGTACAATTGACAATTTCTTGCTATTGCGCAATATTGTGCTATTTGATATTTCTTGCTATTGCGCAATACTGTGCAATTGAAGATTTCTTGCTATTGCGCAATACTGTGCAATTGAAGATTTCTTGCTATTGTGCAATACTGTGCAATTGAAAATTTCTTGCTATTGCACAATACTTATTATATAATAATTTACACATCCTGTTTGGTGTGTATCTCCTACCATATCATTATTATTTGCTTTTAAATATTAATCAGAAATAACCAACTTAAAATGGAAAATTTTAAAAGAAAAAAAAAGGAAAAAAAGAAAAAAAAAGAAAAAAAAAAATCCCCCCCCCCAAATTTTTTGAACCCCCTTATGATTCATCACCCCGAAACTCAATACCAGCCTTCCCTTTGTGGTATGGTACCTTGCAGTACAATTTCAGAGAGATCCATACTCTTGAACACAAGTTATTGTATGGAAACTAGAAAAATGCTTATTTTTGGCCCCTTTTTGGCCCCCAATTCCTAAACGTTTCGGGCAATTACCCCCAAACTCAATTCCAGCTTTCCCTTTGTGATATGGAACCTTGTAGTACAATTTCAGAAATATCCAAACACTTACACACAAGTTATTGTCATGAAACTAGAAAAATGCTTGTTTTTTGCCCCTTTTTTGGCCCCTAATTCCTAAAATTTTGAGGCAATTACCCCCAAAATCAATTACAGCCTTCCCTTTGTGATATGGAACCTTGTGGTACAATGTCAGAGAGATCCATACACTTACACACAAGTTATTGTCTGGAAGTTACAAAAATGCTTATTTTTGGCCCCTTTTTGGCCCCTAATTCCTTAACTGTTGGTACCATAACCCCCAAAATCAATCCCAACCTTCCTTTCGTGGTATTGAACCTTATGGTAAAATTTCATGGAGATCATTCACTTAAACTAAAGTTAGAGTGCGAAAACCAATGTGTCTTCGGACGACACCGACGCCAACGTCATACCAATATACGACCAAAAAATTTTTAATTTTTGCGGTCGTATAAAAACTGCAAAATTTTCTTAAACTTAACAATTCATGGGCCGCAACCCAACAATGGGTTGTCTGATTTGTCTGAAACTTTCAGGGCAGATAGATCTTGACCTGATGAACAATTTTACCCCGTCAGATTTGCTCTAAATGCTTTGGTTTCAGAGATATAAGCCAAAATCTACATTTTACCTCTTTGTTCTATTTTTAGCCATGGTGGCCATCTTGGTTGGCGGGCCAGGTTGTCGTACACATTTTTAAAACTAAATACCTCAATGATGATTGTGGCCATGTTTGGTTAACTTTGGCCCAGTAGTTTCAGAGAAGAAGATTTATGTAAAAGTTAATGGACGATGGACGCCAAGTGATGAGAAAAGCTCACTTGGTCCTTTGGGCCAGGTGAGCAAAAAAAAGTCTGCATAACTGTGATTTTCAACAATTTATCAAAGTCCGTATAATGGTTTGTTGCCGAATGACAGAATGACGGATCTGAATATACTCCATTCTACTTTCTATTTTAACTTGGATCTGAATACGCTGAAAAAATTGCCCCCCCCCCCCTTTTCAAAAAAAAAAATTTCTTTCCCTCAAGATATGGTCATAATCCCAATTCAAATAACTAATGGAGTTTGCAACCATAATTACCCATTTAAATCCATCATAAAAGTCTTAAATAGATAAATTAAAAGCAGTGAAAGGGAGGTAATCCAACATTGTACAACATTGTACAATTTTGTTTTTGGATTACCTCCCTTACACTGCTTTTAAATTGTCCATTAACCAGGAAACCCTTGTTTTTTCCCCTTTTTTGCCCCTAATTCCTAAAGGGTTTGAGCCATAATCCCCCAAAGCCAATCATAACCATCCCTTTGTGGTATGTAAACTTGTGGTATAATTTCAGAGAGATTCATACACTTAAACACAAGTTATTGTCTGGAAGTTACAAAAATGCTTATTTTTGGCCCCTTTTTAGCCACTTTTCCTTAACTGTTGGTACCATAACCCCCAAAATCAATCCCAACCTTCCTTTTGTGGTATTTAACCTTATGGTAAAATTTTATAGAGATCCATTCACTTAAACTAAAGTTATTGTGCGAAAAAACCAATGTGTCTTCGGACGACGACATCAACGTCATACCAATATACGACCACAATTTTTGCGGTCGTATAAAAAGGAAAATTCAAATAGCAAGTTCTTTACAAAAAGGACAAATTCCAGTAGGATGTGAGCTGTGCAAAGGTCAAAATAAGATCCAATTCAAATGCATTGATTGTGAACTCTTAATGTGCTGTGATTTTATAAATAGTGAAGTAGAAAAGGAAGTATGAAGTCAGACGGTGATGAGAGGCAAACAGACAAGGAAGTATCAAAGTCAGACATCTTAAAATTTTTTAATGGCCTTTGCAAGTTCTTTACAAAAAGGACAAATTCCAGTAGGATGTGAGATATGCAAAGGTCAAAATAAGATTGAATTCAAATGCATTGATTGTGAACTCTTAATGTGCTGTGAATGTATGGACAGAGTTCACTTAAAGACTGCTAAAGATCATCAGATAACAGATATAAAGAATATAGGAAAACATGTCACTTTCAGTGAAATTAAGTGTGAAAACCATACAGGACAGGCATGCTGCCTTTTCTGTCAAACCTGCAAAACATTTATCTGTGTAAAGTGTGTAGCCAAAGTTCATAATGGACATGAGTTAATAGAAGAAGAAGACTACAATAAAGGCAAAGTAGAAATGAAGCCAAAACAACAAAGTAAGATTAAGTTTGAAATATTCAAAGAATATACAACAGATCTTACTCATATTCACCATTTAGCAGTATGTTTTGATGGTTCTATGTGGATGGGGGATAGTGTCAGATCAAAGTTACAACATGTCAAACTTAGAGATAATAGAACTGAAGTAATAACAAGTTTAAATACTAAAATATATGGAATAGCAAAAACTCATTCAAATAACATTCTTGTTACAACAGATGAGACTAAACTAAAACTAATCAACACCATGACAGGACAGATAACCGATTCCAGGTATGATGGAACACCATTGGATCCAACCTGTATCCATGTGACCAGTGATCACAAAGTCATCATAGGAGCCTATTCTGGAGGAAAGCCATACTCTGCCACAGGAAGACGTGTAGTGGTGGTAATGAATCAGGAAGGAAAACAGCTAAAAGAATATGAACATGACAAACATAACAAACGTTCATTTAGTTTGCCTGCACATATAACCAGTACCAGTAATGGTAACATCTGTGTGGTGGATCATTCAAATAACAATGGCATCGGTAGAGTGGTAGTGATATCACCAGGAGGAGACATACTAGGGACTTACACTGGTCACCCTGATGTCAACACAGGGGAGAAACCCTTTAAACCTATAGAAATAATAACAACACCGTCAGATAATATTGTTGTTACAGATGTGAGCAATCATTTATTGCATATACTGACTGACCAAGGACAAAATATTACCTACTACAATCTCCGTGACATGGGAATCTTAGGTCCATACTCCCTTGCTCTGTCTACAACAGGAACTATCTATATAGGATGTGTAAATAAAGCAGGAAGTCCAGACACTACAAAGGCTAAACTTTATGAGTTGGAATATTCTGGAATCTAGTGAAACTAAGGAAACAATAACCAGAATAATAAAGAAATTATTTGTTAACAGTTTCACTAGCTAAGTCATAAACTTCTGATTTTTAATCATAAATTCAACTTTTCCTAAGATAATAGACTTTCATTGCAGGATTGGTTTTTTGTTTTAACATTAAATTTGATTTATTTTCATGCTTTTTTATAACAGATTTAAAGAAAAAAAGGAAATATGTAAAAAATGTTTTAACAGTCATCAAAATTCTACCATCCATCAATCCGATTAAAATACAGATTGATTGTTGTTTAACTCCACTTTCATCACTATTGTGCTATTTCGTGACGGTCAATTTATATTTGTGGAGGAAGCCGGAGTACCTGGAAAGAACCATGACCTTCGGTAGGAAAACTGACAATCCTAGTTAAATAAGATTGAAATTGAACACACCTGCCAAGTGCGAGATTCGAACTCACAACCTCAGTATTGACTGGCTAGTGATAAAGTAGTTTGACTACTTAGACCACTTGGCAACCAGATTAAAATACAGATCCACGCTTTGCTTACATGGACCTGAATACACTTCATTCTATTTTCTATTTTAACATGGATCTGAATAAGCTCCATTCTACTTTCTATTTTAACATGGATCTGAATACACTCCATTCTACTTTCTATTTTAACATGGATCTGAATAAGCTCTTCTACTTTCTATTTTAACATGGATCTTTCTATTTTAACATGGATCTGAATAAGCTCCATTCTACTTTAACATGGATCTGAATACGCTCCATTCTACTTTCTATTTTAACATGGATCTGAATACACTCCATTCTACTTTCTATTTTAACATGGATCTGAATAAGCTCCATTCTACTTTCTATTTTAACATGGATCTGAATACACTCCACTCTACTTTCTATTTTAACATGGATCTGAATAAGCTCCATTCTACTTTCTATTTTAACATGGATCTTTCTATTTTAACATGGATCTGAATAAGCTCCATTCTACTTTCTATTTTAACATGGATCTGAATACGCTCCATTCTACTTTCTATTTTAACATGGATCTGAATACGCTCCATTCTACTTTCTATTTTAACATGGATCTGAATACACTCCATTCTACTTTCTATTTTAACATGGATCTGAATACACTCCATTCTACTTTCTATTCTAACATGGATCTGACTACGCTCCATTCTTCTTTCTATTTTAACAAACCTTTGGGATCCTTGGGTTTTGTCATAATGATAATCAAATTTATCAGAACAGAAAGTAGGAGTGTTGTCAGATCCTTGTAATCGAAGCTGTAATCAGATTGACCAATCCATGTAACCTCATTCTGTATGAGCCTGTCCCAAGTCAGGAGCCTATAATTCAGTGTTTGTCGTTTGTTGCTGTCTCCCAACATGTTTTCTGTTGATTGTTTTGTCATAAATCTGGTCGTTTGAATTGTTTCATATTTTGTCATGTCACTCAGGCTTGGTCTTTTAAAGCTAAACAAGTCAGTTTGTGTTTTGCTAATTATTGAAGGCAGAAGGGTGACCTATAGATTTACATCATTTGGAGTCTGCTCAGGATAGTTGTTTCATTGGCAATCATACCACATCTCCTTATTTTTATATAGATTACAAAGAATCTAGTGGATAGTTGTCTCATGGGCAATCATACTACATCTCCTTATTTATATATAGATTACAAAGAATCTGCAGGATAGTTGTCTCATGGGCAATCATACCACATCTCCTTATTTTTATATAGATTACAAAGAATCTGCAGGATAGTTGTCTCATGGGCAATCATACCACATTTCCTTATTTTTATATATATTTCAAAGAATCTGGTGGCTAGTTGTCTCATGGGCAATCACACCACATCTCCTTATTTATATATAGATTACATTGAATCTGGTGGCTAGTTGTCTCATGGGCAATCATACCACATCTCCTTATTTATATATAGATTACAAAGAATCTGGTGAATAGTTGTCTCATGGGAAATCATGCCACATCTCAGGAAGATATGTCACCTTATCACAACACAATATTTCAGTTGTATATAATTTATATCTCATGAAGAAATGCCAGGTTCTTACCTTAAATAAACTTTGAGTAAGCATTCACTTACCTTTTAAATTAACATTCACAGTGAAGACCATATGAGGAAATAATGTATCTTCAATGCCATTGAATTTTCTTGTTTTACAATTCTTAGGCCAAAGAGTAACACTTATAGAATTTTTAATGAGTTATATCATAACTTTAAGTCATGCAAATGGTTCCACTTACATCTTATGGGAATATTGTCAGCTTTTGAGCAGTTGACACAGGTAAACATTTATCACAGCAAGATCTTAGCTATATATAGATGTCTAAATATCTCAGCTTACTGCTTTTAATGATGAAAATTTATGTTGAACCTTTAAGATCAAGTCTAACTACAAGTACCACATAAACTTATCATTATCAATGGTCAATGAAAATAAGGTTAAGTTAAGATGAACCTGTCAGACCTTTTAGACCAGGTGATCTAATGAGGTGTAGGACAACAGATGTATGCCAGATGGACACTTCAGAACAGAAGGCATCTGTATACAAGATAAGTCTACTGTCAAAAATATACCAGTGTTACATTGTTTACACCATCCATCGTTTATTTACAGCCTCATGTCTCACATTTTGCTACTTTGGTTCAAGGCGAATCAATACATTAAAATGTATTCTTTTTTAGTCTTACTTGTCAATTGTTTTTACAAAATAGATAATGTTTAGGTAAAGAAACCTACTTATGGTCAAATTATGGTGAATTTTAATAGGAAGTTAAAATGTACAAATTAAAATTTAAAGATTTAAATCTCATAGGGTTATTAAAATGACCCACTAAACAGCTGACTAATTGTCTGGAATTTTTTTTACTTTTTTGGGAAATTTAATTAGTCTGGAAATTTTTTACTTTTTTGGGAAATTTAAGAACTGGATGACTCTGTATTCAGCAACTATCCAGTAATTTGAAACCTATGAAAGTTTTATAAATGAATCATATCTGAATAGAATCAGGACCAGGACCGAATCACAAGCACAGAACATTCTTTCGCAGGACAACCTTACCCATCGTTTTTATATATGAATCATATCTGCCTTATAATGGACAATGAGAGAAAAATTTAACCTCAACATTTAAAAATAAAAGTTTCCAACTAAGGGTCTTAACCCACAGAAATAATCAACAAAGCTACTGGACATTCAGTGATTGTCAGTAGGTCACTAAATAAATAACCTTTCTATAGTTATATTTTTCTCCATATATCATCTCTGTATTAGGTCACTAGAACTTTTCAGATCACTGAAAATAATCAATGGAGTTCCAGCGGAAACTGAATAAATCTCCTTCAGAACCATCATGTGGTTATCAATTATATAATATTTCTATAGTAATATATTTCTCCATAAATCATATCTTTATTAGGTCATGTGAACTCCCCAGACCACTCAAAATGGTAGACAAAGTCAACAGTTGTCTATTTCTAATCTGATATATATATCATTTTTCATTTTAGAGCTATATTTAGAAACATTTTGCTGTATAAATCAATTTCACCAAAGTAAATTAGGAGAGCTTTCCAATAAAATCCAGAATAACTTATCAATAGTTCCTGTGCTTATAATCCAACACTCAATGCCCTGTCAAAATAATTAAATAGGCCAAATTGTTTTTACAAGTTACAATTTGAATTCATCTCTTACTTTACGTAACAAAGGAAATAAAACCTTTCCCAAGAATCAGTACCTGTTCAATTGAATATTTAATTTATTGCAACATGAATTGTCCCATTGAATAAACATGATAAATACAATGTTATCTTTGGAGTTCTGATTCAACTGTTGAAGGCTGTACAGAGACCTATAGTTGTTAACATCTGCATCATTTGGTCTCTGGTGTAAGTTTTCTCATTGGCAATCAAACCACATCTCCTTATTTTATATTGATATAATGTATTTGTTATATGGACCATTTAAAATGAAATTTTCTTCAGCTTTTTCCCCCATTTTTTTTTTAACAAAAGTTTCATTTTTCTGTACTGACCAAATAAAATCAAAATTTGTTCTTCAGTGGTTTATTATTGACATTAATTTGTAATAATTATCTCTGCCCTTACATTATGTGAGTCATTTTTTTAGTATCAGTACATGTATTTTCATCATTAGTTTATTTTTTTGTACAGCCTAATTAACCATTAAATGATTAATTTTTCAAGGAGAAATTTAAAGGGGCACTATAGCTACGAGATATAAAAAAATTATAAAATATGATTTTTTTTGTTCAATCATTAATGAAAGAGGAATAGTGAAATAATAATTCGCTTTTATCAGCCAGTATTGTCTAATTTTGTCAAAATAAGCAAATAAATATTGATGATGAATTATTCACTTGCAAGTGAATGATTCGACCTCATTGAATCCGTATTCATGTGAACTTCAATTTAACCCCTTAGATAGAGTTGGATAACGCATGAAGTGTGTGCATGTTTGATTATTTAAAGGAAAAGAATGTCAACATTGAAAGTAAACAAAGGTAATTCATTTAATTGACTGATTCGATCCTCAAAAAAATCATTCTTATACAGGTAAAAATGATGATTAACATATATTTTTAATCTATAAATGAAATTAAATAGACCTAGAATAATCCAACTGCCCGAGTTGCGCTATCTATTTATATCTTTATTTATGTTTATATCCCTTATATGGGCATCAGTGGTTTTCGGGAGGTCAACTCAACAGTTAATCAGATGGCGTCTAGACTAAAATACACACAAAACGAAGCTACATATTATCAACCCTATGCCCTGTAAATTGTTTATTTTAGATTTTTTATAATTTAGATAAGTGTTTTACATTGTTATAACAAATATGAGAATTTGAGTCAAATCGGTGAACATGAATTTGACAGCTAGTGCCCCTTTAAACTTCTCATTGAATGAAATCCAATGAGAACAATACCTATTTATTCAATTGGACGTTTCAATTCGACAAGTTTAAATACACAAATAAACATGTACTGATTCTGTGGAAAATGAGTTTTATTTCCTTTGCAATTAAACACATCAACTGTTAAAATGAGTCTGTTTCTAATAAAGATTGTTGCTGTAGAGCAATTATGATGTTGCAAAAATTATGCTTTTCATCATCCAC